CACAGCGCCCCTAGAGGACAGAGTGGAACTGCACCACAGGGTTTCCAAGGCTGTCAATCTTCACAGAAGCAAAGCCCAAACCAAACCCACTGCCATGGAGTCGATTCTGACCCACAGCGGCCCTAGAGGACAGAATAGAGTGTGTATATACACACATATGGACACCAAGAACTTCACCGATTTTGCTTCTCCTGAGAACCCAGCCTAAAACAGCTGGAAAACATAGGGGTTGTTTTCCGCTTGCTTGTGTGTTTCTGAGGAATATACACTGGGAAAAGGAACGCTGGTGTTATTATTGTTAAACCACTCGGCTGCAAACCAAAATGTCAGCAGCTCAAACCTACCAGCCACTCCTCAGGAGAAAGACACGGCAGTCTGCTCCTGTATATGGACAGCCTTGGAAGCCCTATGGGGCAGCTCTAGTCCGTCACATGGGGTCACTGGGTGTCGGAGTCAACAAACCAAGCAATAACAACAACATACGCACAGCAGCAGCTGTCAGCTACAACCCCAGGTGTGTTGCTGACTCAGGATGTACAGGTGAACCCAGCTGGGCTCTAAGTAGGTCAGTGAGCAACAGGAATGATACTGACATTTGAGTAGTTCTTGGAGCATTTACTGGCTCTCCCTCAACCTCAAAACTTATTATTTGCCTTCTTTTTCAAGTAAAGAAGAGGAAGTCCTGAGAGGTGGTGTGACTTGTCTGAGAGGACTAGTGAGTCAGAGAGTCAAACAGGACCCTCAGGTCATGGCTCCTTGCTCAGTTCACACAACTCTACCACACAGTCCCTCTGCCCCCCACTGCCCCATACACACTGCCCACACACACACACACACACTGCCTCCCCCTCACACTGCCCCTCACCCACTGCCCCCCGACCCACTGCCTCCTCCACACACTGCCCCCCCACAACACCCCCCACTGAGACCCATCTTAGCACTGAGACCCATCTTAGCACACACTCAATGCCATAAAACCACACAATCCTACAGAAGTCTAATAAATCCTTACTTGTTCACAAGTGGGAGACTAAGCGCCCAGCCAGCAGCGAAGTCTGGATATTTGAAAACCGTCGGATCTTCAGAAAAGGCGTAATGGTGAATTATGGTGGCTTCTTCATCGTGTAAAGCTTTTCCTAAAAACCAGTCCTGTGGTACAAAGATGCAGAGTGTCATCTTTATGACATGTCTCACTTAAGAAATGCAGAAAATGAAGCATTCTCGCTAAACTTAGTTAATGAAATCTCCAGTGACGGGCATTTAGCATAGATTACACACTCGTAAAGGGTTATGACAAACTTAACACCAGTGTTATACTGAATATAACACCACCTCCATATATAAAGAAAGCAGTTCAAGGTCAGATCATGACGATGAACAGAATGTCCATTATTACACCGTAAATGTGGAAAAGTCGTATTTATAGAGTATCCTATAGCAAAACACTATTGAGGTGAGGAAAAGAAGACCTCCTTACTACAGTGATGCTGTGGGTAAGGCAATGGGCTGCTAGCCACAAGGTCGGCAGTTTCAGCCCACCAGCTGCTCTGGGGGAGAAAGATGAAGCAGTCGGCTTCCATAAAGGTGACAGCCTTGGA